GGAAGGAAGGAAGGAAGGAAGGAAGGAAGGAAGGAAGGAAAGGAAGGAAGGGACCCATCTGTGCCAAAAACATTCCAGATGCTGGATCATTCTTTGAGCAGCACCTTCTGGGACCTCCCTCCCCTACAAAACAGTTCATTAAAATCTGGTTGTCTCTCCTCATTAGGGATGATTCCCACATTTGAGACTGGTTTCACCTCTTCCGGAGAGAAAATTTGGCTTATAAAGAGGCATTTCTAACTCTGTTCTCACTTGCCCTTGGTAGAACCAGTAAGCTCACTAGGCTTGTGAGCGGCTGCCTCTAATTAAGGCAATGAGCAGCTCAAAATGTCTTAATTAAGAACAGAAAAATCAGGAAAACTTTTAGAAGACGGTGCCGTGCTGGGGGTTGTAATCCAGCTTTAGCACTAGAATGATGGGGCTTGTAGTTCGGGGAGCCCCAGAGGTTTCCCTCCCTTACACCTTCTGTAATGCGTGATTTGACCTCTTGTTTTCCTCATTCTTTTCTGCCTTTTGCTTGGCACATTTTTGTTTTGTTTTGTTTATCCCATGTAAGGAATAGCGGCAGTGGAAAACAGGAAATTAACTTTTTAAAACTGGGAGTTCTTTGTGAAGTATTTACAAAGTCTGAACAGTGACGTTGCAACGAGAAAGGCAGCTGTGCTAATGGGTTGTAGCAAAACGAGGAAGGGGGAGACCTTATCTCCAAAGAGTTGGGGCATTTGGAACAAGAAAAAAAGGTGGGCATTCTTTAAATATTTTTGGGGGGGATTTTTTCTGCAAGGTATCGTTTGCCCAATAAATCTCTGTTTTAGTCTGATGAAAATAGACTCTGAAAAAAAAGGTTTGGGGAAGTTTTTGTCTGAGTTTCACGAGAGCTCTCTGAGGGGACAGCCTTCAGCATCTTGGGATAGCTCTGGGAAGTTCGGAGTAAAACCTGGAATGGATTGATTGCCCCACTGACACCGGAGCCAAAATCGCAGCTAAACGTGCCCTACCCAGAGCGTGGAGCATTGAAAGAGAGGGAAAAAAAATACATGACTGGCTTTTAAACAGGAGAGTGTTTCTGTGCATAGTTTTGGTATCCGGCCCGAGACACTCACCATAGTGTGGGGATCGGGCTCCTGGCCGGCGCTGTTATACCGCAGGGCTTTGCACCAGGCTGGCTCCGCAGAGAGCTCTGGAAGGTGTGAGGCATACATCTCGGCCTCTCCGCCCGCCGCCGTCCCGGCCATCTCCTCATAGCCTTCCAGGCTGGCCGTTTTGAACGGGGGTCCCTCCACGGTCAGGTGGGCCTCCGGAAAGGCTTCTTCCACCAGCTGCCTCTTGTAGGGGTTGAAGGGGGCCCGGAGGCTGCTCTTGAGGAACCTCCCGCCGGGGGCGCCCCCGAGGATGCCCTCCTCGCAGCCGTAGCAGCCGAATTTCTCTGAGGGGGAGACCTGGTAGGGGTCCATCTCGGCGTGGAGGACGTGGCTGGCGGAAAACCTTCCATAGATCTGGTCCGGAGGCGGGGAGGCCGGGCTTGAGCTCTGAGAAGACTCGGATCGGGCCCTCTCCAGCCTGTTCTCTCCCTCGTACGGCTGGCAGCAGAAACCAGGGTTTTCCTGTAGGCCAGGACATATTGATTGATTGATTTGTATGTTTATCTATACATGTGGCTGCTGGATTTCTCTCCCACATGCTGGGGACCGGGCAGTGTGCTCCCTAGCAGCCTTAGGGGGCGTTAGGCTCAGGGTACAGCATATTGTTTGTGTGTGTGTATGTGTTGGACTACAGCACCTATGCTAGCGGATGCTGGGTGTTGCAGTCCAAAAACAAAAAACAAAACACCAACTTCCTCCCCCAAGCGCTGGAATCGGTTACCTCCAAGCAGTCCAGATAAATTGGTTACCATGACTGGATCTCTGTTGGTTTGCCATGACCAAGCATCATCTCCTCGGGCACCCTTCCTCTCGGCCACCCACCACTCCCGGTTTCAACTCGACGGGTGCCGGCCGCGGAAAAGATACGAAGGTCTCATCCTACCTGCTTGATGGGGGATCCTGAGTCCTCATGGCTGTGCATTGGGTGCGCGGATTGGTGGCCTTCCAGAGGATCCGAAGAAGAAAAGGTAACGTTGGCTTGATCCTGGAGGAGTGAAACCATCACCCAAGGTGACGAGGAATCCTGGAGCCCACGGTTTGAAAAAATGAGGAGAGAAAAAGAGAAATAAATGAGAAATCTTATCAACCCAACTCTTGAAAATTGTACCATACTAACTAAATTGTCAGCTGCCTTCGTCCCAGCTCCTGGAAAAAGGTGGCACATAAAATAAATAGGATATATAAGCAAAATTAAGTAAAATAATACATAAAGGGGCACCAGGGGGTCATCTAGTCCATCCCCAGCCGTGCAAGAAACCCACACTCTGTTCCTGTCTCAAACAGCTCTTGGCGCCCTAAAGTTTAGTCAGGAACACCTTCTGGTCTTTTGAACCCACGGTTTTAGGTCTTCGGCTTCGGAGCGGCAGAGAACACATTTTCTCCGAGCGACGGCCGTTCAGACAGCACAGGTGGCTGGCACGCCACCTTTCCTAAGAAGCAGATTCGGTGGCCCCCGCGCAGCCTTGCCTGTTAATTCCCAAACCTCAAAGCCACCCTTTCTTGGGGGTCTTTTAAAAATTAATTACATCGAGACTGTTGGGCCACCCGTCTGGTGTCGGTTCGCCCTGCTGCTGCTTCTGCTGCCTTGAAAATAACCAGGTTCACACGGATGGCATGAGAAACGTTAATAAAAAGGTTTATTTTTTTAAATAAAACGACGACCGGTTAATAATAGTGCAGGCAAGCCTCACAAACTTGGCAGCTCTTTTCTACTGCCGTTTCTCAGCTGAGTTTTCCAGATATAATTTTTCTTTCTCTTTCAGTCGACTGATCCTGATGCTCCATCCACGCCTTCCCGCTTTGCCACGTTGTGGCCGGTGCACTGCTATTTATAAAGCGCCATCCTTCTCATCGCTAAGTTGATGAGAGAAATAAAATAAATTCCCTGTGGAAAACCCCGCCGTGTTGAATTTTGGGCAGTTTCAGGGTGTTGTAAAGACCAGCCCTCGTGTATTAGTCATGGTAAGGAGATCTCGAGAGCAAAATTGTGCAAGGAACCCCAAAAAAGGTGCCATCTTCGTGGCACATGAGCGTGGAAACACTGGCATCATGACCTTGGCCCATTTATTTTATTTCTATTTTAAAAACAGGTTTATACCCCACCTTTCTCCCAACACGGCTTACAGTATTGAAAACCACGACGTATAAAAAACTAAGAATAATAAATTATCCGAGTATTTTTTTAATGGACTGGAGTTTGGAGATCTGCTCTTTTTGAGATTACCAATTTTTCCCCTTTCTCCCCTCCTCAGTTAGGAAGGATCATGGCCACATTCTGCACCTAAAATTTCCCCTTAAAAGCCACTTCTTTCTTGTTTAACAAAACCACTTCCCTCTAGGAAATGTTTTATACAAGTAAGAAATTTGCTCCTTTTCGAGAACCTGTTTGTTTGTTTGTTTTCTAAGTGTAATCTAAATCTTCCAGCCAGCAATCTCTCTCGGTTGCAAACAGGAAGCGCTGCAGCGCTAAAGTCCACACTTCGGAATGAAACATCGCAAAGCGTAAAGCCATGCTTTCAGGGAGGAAGGAAAGTTGCGGAAAGTCGCAGAAAATGCCACGGGGCTCAGCAAGACAAGAAGAACGTCGTACGGACGTTGGGCAAAATACCTATACAATATGTACAGAACTCAGTATAAGAAGACCAAATGATCCACTTGGAAGAGTCTTGAAAGAAAGTCCTGCCCTGTCTGCATCGCGCAGAGGTCCTGGCAATTCCCATCAGGGAAAAGGACCCGATCAGCCCACAAGGAGGCTGAAAGCTAGACTCCTAAAGAATTAAGCACGCGCCATAGGGCCCAGTCCTGGGTGGAAGACCTTCTCCATTTTGCTTTCTTCCTTTTGAAAAAAAACCCCCACCAAAATCCAGTTTCTTCCCCTCGCCAGAAGGACATCTACAGAGTTTTTGGCAAATGCTTTCCAAAAACCCAACGGTAACGGGGATTTTAACACGCCTGTCCTGTAAGCTCCTCGCTCCCCTCCTGCTTCACCCCTGGGCACCCAAATAGTTAATCTAGGGAAGTTCCCCGTTCATCTCTCAGTGTTTGATGAAAAAACGAGAGGCATCACCGTCAAAAAATGTTCAAAGACTATCTTGGAGTTCAAAGGGTTCTTTTTCTGTATCTTTTTGGTGGCTGGGAGGACGGGGGGGGGGAAGGTGTGAAAGGAGGGAGGATGGATGTTCTCTGATGAGAGAGTCCTGTTGAAATGCCGGATGCCGAAGGGGACGAGAACAGAAATGGAGCGTGGCGGAAGCCCCAGGAGGGGAAAAGAAGCGAGTTCGAGGCCATGTTCCAGGCAGGGGAAAAATGTGCAGGTGTCTCTTCAGGTGGCTTGCCACCCGTTTCCCAAAGTGAGAGAAGACCCCTGTGGGGAAGGAAGGCTGGCTGCCCTTTCAAAAGCCCGGCCTCGTCATTATTTTCAAAGCGCCCATTGAATTGGCGAGTCTGCCGCCTTTTCATCCATTCTTCTCCTTCAGCTGAAATTCTTGGATATTTGCTCTCAGTTTAGCCGGGGAGGGAAGTGACCCGACATGTTTCTTTAAATCCAAGTATTTAATTAGTGCTAATTTTTCCCCTTCTCTAATTATAGCTTCTAAATCATTCTTGTGAAGATCTGAGAAGCAGAGAAAAATGATGTTTTTTTTCTCCCTCTCCTCCAGCCATACAAGAGACCAACGGGGGGGTCTTGTCTCAAAACCGAGAGATGGGAGAGCCAAGGAAGAGGCAGTGCCATCACAGATGCCCAGATGAAACCACGGAGCTCACCGCCACCAGATGTACTAAAAGCAGTTCAGACCAATTGATGGAAGACAAGGAAGAGCTAATGTTTAGGGCAGAGAGGCCACCCATTTGGAACTCTCTCTCGTGCCCGTGTCACACTCTCTAACCACTTCCTCTAAGTAAGAGCCGGTGGGGAACATTTCAA